GGCGGATGGGCCCCGGTGGATGGATCCGAGCCACCGGGAGAACGGGCCCCGGGTGGACGGGGCCCGGACCCCCCGGGTCCCGCGAGAACGGGTCCAGGCCCCTCGGGTGGATGGGGCCCGAGGCTCCGGGAGAGCGGGCCCGGGCCCCCTGGGTGGAGGGGGCCCGGGCCCCCGGCTGGATGGGGCCCGGGCCCCCGGGAGAACAGCCCTGAGCCCCGGGTGGACGGGGCCGTACCCCCGGTTGGATGGGGCCCGGGCCCCGGGAGAACGGGCCCGGGCCCCCTGGGTGGATAGGGCACGGGCCCCTGGGTGGATAGGGCACAGGCCCCCGGGTGGATGGGGCCGGGCCCCGGGAGAACGGGCCCGGGCCCCTTAGGTGGATGGGGCACGGCCCCCCGGGTAGATGGGGCCAGGGCCCCCCGATGGATGGGTCCGGGCCCCCGGGAGTACGGACCCCAGGCCCCGGGTGGACGGGGCCCGGGCCCCCGGCTGGATGGGGCCCGGGCCCCCTGGTGGGCGGGCCCCGGAGCCCCGGGTGGACGAGGCCCGGAGCCCAGTGAACGTGGCCCGGGCCCCCGTATGGATAGGGCTTGGTCCCCCATGTGGATAGGGCCCGAGCCCCCGGGTGAATGGGGCCCGCTAGGGTGACCCGCTTGCTTCGCAACGCGAATAAGGGGCATTTTCGATCGGTGGGCGTTTGGTTGGTCTTGTGTCTGTGGGTTATGTATCCATTACGGTCGATTGCCTTTTGACGGCTAAGCATTTGGTTTTGGGAAAAAATATCCATCGCATCGAGGTGCTCGTGTCTGATAATAACCATGCGTTCTACTATAGAACATGCCAAGTGTATTTCATGACATAGGTTGGCGTAGGTTATTGAAGAGTGAAAGCCATCGATGAATTACTATGTAGAGGTTTGAAACATTTATATTCTTAAGAATATTGTTGCTCGTCATGCAAAAGCGATGATTGGACCTTGGTCACAATTGAATGCTCTTCCAATCTATGCCCATTTCAATTGTCAAACATACCAGGTTATGTAGCAAAACCCCTGTAATGAAGTAAGTCATAAGCAAATGCTATTTTCTCCAGCAATTTGTTCCACCTTGTTTTTGATCAATTAGCTTTTCACAATTTTCCCATGAGAGGCGGTAGGTACATTTCTCTTGCCAACAAGCGTTGTTTGAACCCGCTCCGTCTGACAGTCACCCAAAAATAGCATTAAGTCCAAAATCCGTCCAAAACGTCAATTTTTCAAGCATAAGTGCCCTCACGGGTGCACGTGGCGCGTGCCATCCCTGCACCGCACACCATTCGATAGCCCGTTCGATTCTCATGCACGATACTGTGTTCCTCGTGCCGATCGGACCCACGGTTACCGAGATACTGCACGGGGACCGGACCCGTGTCGGGCAAGTTGAGCCATTGTCGCCAATTTTTGCAAGCCGATTTATGCATGTAAAGTCTATGACGCGAATTTGCACTTTTTGAGCACGCGCCATGTGCTCACCACCGGCCCGATCGAGCTGTGACTCTTCACAGGCACGTTACCCAATCCATCCTTGTTCTATAAGTTGCGCGAATTTCAGCGCACTATGGAAGTTACGTCGCGATCAGCCGCTTTTTTACGCGAGTTCTTCGCGAAAAAAAAACCTTAGGGGGTTGCATCAACCCCTCCCCCCTGTGCCGGCGAGGGTTAAAACTTCTTACGAGCGAATTCACGTAATGAAGAAGAATAAAAGCACAATCTACTACAGCAGCCAATAGATGACTTAGGACAGGCACATGGGACTACTTTAAATCTTGTGCGACAGAAGCAGGCAACAGTTCCGATTGCATATAATATGCTATGCATA